AGCGAAACCGGTATGGAGGGGGCAAGAGGGCTGAAAGACGCTCCTGGGCTGCCAGGAGGGCGCGGAGAAGTTCTTTTAGCCAGGTAAGTAAGAAGAAAATTCGGAAAGTTTATAAATGTTGCTTTTATATTGAAATTATCAAATGACCACGTTTATATTTTTACAGTATTAGTGTCTTGTTATGGATATTAATGTGTAATTAAAGGAACTCCAGGCCCTTTTCCTGACCATTGATTGGTCAGCAGCAAGGGGCCAAAACTACTATAAAACCCATGTACTCGCACAAGGTCGAGAGATGTGTGGCGGGTACGTCGTTGCCAACAAACCCTTACCGAACCTCGTTCTATTCTTCCACGCGAACTTTCTCTTTTCCAACTCTTTCAGATTGTAGTTTCCGTTCTTTTGTCTCTCCCCGGGTTAAAACTTGCCTTCGTCCTCGAGTGGCCCAAGAAGCGCACATCTGGCATTCAGGTTCGCACGAGGACGAACGAATTTTCCGTTTCCACCACTTTCTCCACTTCTATCTTTATCTATCGCTACTCCTGTCTCCCTGTCCTAACAATATAAAAACCCAGTACGCCTACACCTCCGGACAGTTTTTCCTTTACCGACCATCGCGACGTACCCGCCGAACCGCTGCCGCCGGGACAAGTAACAAAATAAACGATTGTATTTTCTAGACCAATTGTACGCCTATACGACCATATACTTATACGTTAATAAATTGAGGTGAAAACAGGGTAACGACGTTCCTCACCCACCTCAATCTCATTAATCCAACAGAGCAAAACAGTTGTTACTATACGCTAACCCGCACAAAATTACATATTTAATTTTTGTAGGAAACACTTTTATGAAATTTTAACTACAGCAGACATATTTCAGGTGATAAAGTTAAGTGAAATATCCTGTATATGTTGTGTTAAAAATTATGATGTACGTGCATAAGCATATTATATAATTTTATAATTTTTAAAATGTTCTTACAAAATTTTATACATTTGTGTAGACAGAGTTGGGCGAACTTTATCTTGAATAACGAATAAAAGATGACGAATAAAGCCCAGGACTTATTCGTGAATAACAAATAATGTTTTGTTCGAATAAAATCTTTATTCGTTATTCACTTATAAATCCTGTATCTTTATTCGTTATTCGAAATAACTCCACGAGAGATAAGTATCACAAATAAGTGATATTGTTTTACATAGGGGTACCATGCGGTAAGGGAAACCTCACTCGAGTTAGAGGTGGACCATTGGTGACGTATTTACGTATATAGAGTTTCTTTTAATTTTAGAATTTACAATCTCAAATGTCTCTGCTTATTTTAACAAAATGTCAATTTTCCATATGTATTTCTTGCAATAGTTGTGCTATCTTATCGTAAGTACGGGTACTTGAATATTAACACAAGATTTTTAATTACTATTCCCTTTTTAACGCAATATACTTTATTTCACAATTATGTAACCAATAACTCAAAATTTTCTGCAATTCAAAGTTTCTTTAATGTGACTGTAGAACAATCCAATATGCAGTTACTTCTAAAATACTTCTTCGTTTTGCTGACCAAATTTATATAAATATTAGCTATGGTACATATGAACTGTACATCGTTCAGGTTATTTTTTATTTCAGCTACATTGTTTGTAAATACTATGTGGTGAAAATTAAAACGAATTCATATTCACTTCGCTGTCGCGGTTCCTCGGCCCACTTCTTAGACTTCTTGGTAAGTACTACGCCGTTTGTTCCTGGTTTATTCAAATCAATTTTTATTCGAATAAAAGTTTATTCGTTATTCTCGAATAACTTCATTTTATTCGCATCTTTTATTCGAATAATGCCCAACTTAAAAAAGGCTAAAAAAAATTGAATTTCATTTCTTTTAACTAATGTCTACACAGTGTAGATAACGTAAGCTACAAATATTTTCAAGAAGAAAAATATATTTTTTGAATAAGCTGTCTTGAGATGTCTTTATAAGTAAATTCAGAGAATTTAAATAGGGTGAAATAATGTACATTGATTCCAAGTTGATTTATATACCTGTCCACAAAGACTAGTAGTATTTATCTATAGTGCTTGGAATTCTATATTTGGTAGACTTACTTCAACGAAAATAAAGTGTTTATATCTTAGAAAAATATTACTGGACCAATTTTTACCATCTTTCTCAAATCTTTGAGATGAATATGATATACTCTTAAAGATGACCAGCTATTTCTATTTCATTCTGTATATTATCCAATATTGCGAAAGGTATATAACGTAGTTTTATATTTGCATTTAAATTGATTTTGATAAATGATTATATTAAAGAAAAGAGGGTAGTAATGAAAAATGACATAATTATGCTCAATACATATAAACGTATTATAGATGTGATCTATTAATAACTAAATCTAATCGTTAAATTAGAATCAGTAGATGTTAGCATTCTTTAGTATTGGCTAATGTATTATACGTGAGAAATATACTGTTAGGTGATTAGCCCTTTCTTAGCCATAATTCACAAAAGCATCAATACGATAAGAGATGTTTTTGAGATTTCTTCAAAACAAATTAGTCAGCATGTACTAAATTTCCAAAGGAAAGTCTAAATTCGCAAGACCGAGTTATTCACGTCGTGGCTAAGAGGCTAAGGGTTTAAGGTCATCATCTCCTTGTCAAATACTCACAGTATATACACCGATCCTTCCATTTACGCGGATTGACTGTTCCGCGTTGATTTTTTTTACGCGAATAAAAATCGCGTAGTCTGCTTCTATGAAAAAGAAAAACAGGTATAAGTTATAAAAACATTTAAATCGCACAGATTAATAAAAAAATAATAATATTTCAGAAAACCAAAATAGGTTTTATTCGGTGTCAGAATCTGTACTGTAATTCAAAGCAATCGACCTTCTCTTGTTCATTGGCTCAGTCACTTCATCTTCATCGCTTAAAATATTTGCAAGTCTTACTTCATTTGCATTATTATTGTTTATATTTTTAAATGAATTTGTCAATAACTTATCTTTTGCTAGGTTGTCGTAAATTGCCTGATATTCGCTGCAACATTTTTTTAAATCTTGTTGAAATTTTAAGACTCGTTGAATGTTTGGATCAATATCTAGAGCAGTACTTTCCAATTTTGTGGCCAGTTGAAGAACTTTATTAATATTTTCTGCGGTGAGTGAAACTGGTTCCCCACATTCACTGCCACTTTCAGCAGATGGACGACCTGGTGCATTATCCAATAATAAACGTATTTTAAAAGGAAAGCCTTTTTTCTTCATATAATTTTCAGTTTCTTGAATAAAATAGTTGTAAAACCAATCCCGAAAAACATTAGTAGTCACCCATGCCTTTTTATTTGTCATCCAATGAATGGGAGGATCATTAATGTCTATTTCTTTTAATGCTTGTGGCCGAAGGGCTCCATTTATAACCAAAGGTTTCATCAATTGCTCTCCTGATGCGTTACTACAAAGCAACAATGTCACACGATCTTCATTTACCTTAAATTCACTAACACTTTTTATACTTTTTGTCACAAAAGTTTTGCCAGGGTTCTTCTTCCAAAATAGAGCAGCCTCATCAACATTGAATATCTGATGTGGGAGAAAACCATTTTCCTCATTTATTTCAGCAATTCATGGTAGAAATTGTTTAGCTGCAACTTTATCAGCAGATACAGCCTTGCCTTTGAATTTAAGGTTGTGCAATGAATATCTTTTTTTAAATTTCTCAAACCAGCCTTTACTGCCAGAAAAATCTGTTTCCTTTTTATCAGATGCTAAAGCTAAACCTTGCTTTTTTAAACTGTTAAAAATACTCACACCTTTTTGTCTTATCATATAACTGCTCATGGGTATTTTCTTTTGAATATTGTCCTGAATCCAGATCACCAATGCCTTCTCCATATTTTCTATTATAGGGTTTTTTGAATAAGAGCACTTTGAGCTTGCTAAAGATCAAGATGACATACTGCTTTCAATACTTTTCCTCATATTTTTTATTGTCCTGACAGTGGATTCGTTTATTCCATATGACTTAGCAATTGATGAAGGTTTTTCTCCTTTTTCAAACTGATTTAAAATTTCCATTTTCATATCCAAAGACATAGATTTCCTCTTCCTCCGTATCACTGAACTTTTGTTAAACATTTCTAGGTTTGAAATTTGATTATTTACTGTGTGTTGGGTTATTATCTCTTAAAAAAAAAAGGCTACCATTGTCAAAAATCGGCTGTTTAAGACAGATTCTAGACTTTGTGCTTCCGAATTAAGTATGTACTTTATTACAGATAATTTTAAGCAAGTAAATTATTGAAAAGGCAATATAATGTCTCTTTGAACATGTTTTGCACTGCACTGCACTGGTGTGCTTTTATATTTGCAAGACTTAGTAATGATGTTAGGGCAGGGCGATCGCTCTGGACGCCAGCGTCCTCTAGTGTATTTATATCAACTTCATCTATTATGACTAGAATCTCGAGAATTGTTAGATGGGCAAAATTTGAAAGAATATAAAAGAAAAGCAAAAATTGTTATCAAAACATTCTCATTTAACCCTTCGCCTGCAATATCGTGTGAGACTCTTGGTAAGGAAATCGGGCCGAACATGAACATCACGGGGGACAGCCGCGGTACGTCGATCAGGCCAAACGTAAACAACACGGGTCAGGCTCGTGGTTAATTTTCGTGTGACCGACTTTGCTGTTGATTATGGCACGCGCCATCGAAATTTAAATCGTAGGACAAGAGGTTAAAAAGAAACCAAAAAAGGTCAGTGTTAAGGTGTATCCTGTAGCCGGATTTATGGCAGCGAGTCAAGTGATCGCCGTCGCAGGCAAATATCGTTTTCTCAAAACATCACAAGTGTTTATTGCGTTGCCTGCGACACTTAGTCCCTAGGACC